TATATTATGCTTTATGGGAACATAATGTAAAATTTTGTATAAATGTATAACTATCATAATTTACTGCACTATAGTCATCAAAAAACATTAAATATTTATGCAAAAAGTAGTTGTATATACCTAACATTGAACGCGTTTTGTAATGCATTTTAGCCTTAAATTGTGGAAGAAATCGTGGGTCATAAAAATTAACTTAGAATTTAAAATTAATATTGGAGGAGTTACATTGTTTTTTAGCAGGAAAAATATACAATCTGTGGAATTTAAAATCGCTTTGGAATTGCTAGCTTTACTTTCAAAATTATACATACTATCTATATTATGTATTATAATTACTGTATACTTCAAATTACTGCATAATATTTAGAAATAATAATGTTTTAAAATTATATTTTGGTATAAATAATATATTATTTAAAATCATGCTAAGCACGTTCCTCAGATATTTATCCTACTGATTTTAGGTGTTTAGAAAAAAAATTAGTTTAGGTAAAAAGAGGCAATTTTGGCGAAAACTACAGTAACCGTCTACTGTCTAGGCAGGCGGGACATGTCCAATCTTACCAGCAATCACATCGTATTTAATCTCACATATTTTGTTGTCTTAAAAACGTTATATATTTTACCTGTAATTAAGTATTAAAATAATATTAATTGTAAATAAATCAAAAATTTAACGCAGCTATGTAGAATTTTTTTTCACGTGCACACGCCTATGTAGGTAAAATAGTATACATAATATGTAGGTATATATTATAGTGGACATGGACAGGCAAATAATTGAAAAAAAATTGTTAAAGATCACATTTGTACGGTCGAAATATCGAACATTATAAGTATGTACGAAACACGGACACTTTGTACTATTATATTTACCTATTATATAGATAATATATACATAATAACTAATAAGACATAAAGTATATACAATAGAAGTACATAATAGAAAGTTTGACATCAAGACCTATTATATTAAAAATTGTATTAAATGTAACTATCATTTTATAGGCATATCTAACTATAAATTTAAGTATCATGCATTCCAAATAGGAGGGAATGTAGGTTATTATTAACTATAAATAGGTAATAATTTTATCAATATATTATATAAAATATAAATATGTTTCCCGAGTGCTTTGTAGAAATTTAATCAAGTTATGGTTTGGGTTTATCGTTTATGTGTTCACATCGTTACGATGAAAACAACAATTTCAACTAATATGAGACCAAAATTCGTCAATGATGTGGTTTTGTTTTTACAATATTACGACTGAATTCCAACGATATAAGCTGAAAATGTTCAGTCACCTACATGTAAATGGAAAATTCAAAATATCTACAAATCATCATTATTATTTACTTTAAATTAGTTTATACATTTTTTATTAATTTTTTAATAAAACTTGTATTATACCCAGATGGCATTTACAGTAGGTTACAAGTGGGTCACTGTATAATGGATGGTATTACATTTGAATTCAATGATATTATATCATTGTATAAGAAAAACGATTCTAAGCGGAGACGGTATGACAGTCTAGGTATAAGACATATTATATACCTACATATCTATGGTATTAAACAAAAAATAGGTACCTATAATAAATTCCAAATTAATCATATTACAATATCTATTAGGTACTTATAACGCCTTATAAAAACCGTGATACTATTACAGATATATAATAATACACTTTAGAATTTTAAGTACCCACGAATAATATTATTCAATCACAACAAAATAACTGAAACATTTATTCTAGGTTTTTTATTATGTAATTTCGTCCAAATTTGAATTTAAAATGTCTGTAAAAAATAACTGTGTTCATATATTTTTTGGATTTTTTGGTTACAGTATCAACTATTTATGAGAACCTTTGTTTTAAATTTGTAATCCTTAACTATAAAAACTGAACATTTTATAATTTATTAATTACAATGATTGATAATTTTCGATTAATTTTGATAAATTTTATCAAAATTAGATCTTTAAATGCTTATAAAAAAAAATTGTGAATATGTATTTTTAATATTTTTCAAATGCTATTGTAACAATATATCAGGAGCCTTGTATTAAATTTTTACACTTTTTGGCCCAACAGATAAAACCTTAATTATTGATATTTATAGAAAAAAAAACTAAAAAAATTGAAAACTGAAAATGTCCGTAAACAGCTCAAAAAGAATCAAAATATTTTCAAAATTGTACAGTGTATAGGAAATTCTAATCTGAACATTCAGTGAAATTTTCATGTATCTACAGTAATTCGTTTTTGAATTACAACAAAATAAGGAAATCGTTACATAAGAAATCGAGTGAATATCCAATGTTGTAAAAATTTGAGTTTCAAACGCTCATAAAAATTTAATTTGACTTTCATATAGACATTTTTTTTTTTTGATAAAGGATTATAATCTTATAAGAAACTTGTGTTACATTTTAAAATCTTAGATTTATAAAGAAAAATTTTTACGAATTCCTAACTCAAAATAATTTGCTAATTTTCGTGATTTTTCCATATTTGGTCAATTTTTGAACTTGAACTGCTTATAAAAAAAATTCGTGACTAAGGATTTTTAATATTTTTCATCTGCCTTTGAAACAATATACTAGGAGCCTTCTATTAAATTTTCAAGCTTTCGCAACCAACAAATACAATTTTATTGATATATTTAGAAAAAAAATTAAAAAAAAATTATAAATTAAAATGTCCCTAAACAGTTCAAAATAAATCAAAACATTTTGAAAATGTTATCGTGTATAGAAAATGCTAATATAAACATTCAGTCAAAATTTCATGTACCTACTGTCATTTGTTTAAGAGTTGCACCAAAAACCAAAATCGATTTTTTCGAAAACAGATTTTAGTTTAAAAATTCACGTTTTTCCTTAATTTTTATTTTGTTTTTCACTCTGCTTTTGAAAACTACTGAGAAATTTTTACTTTTGACCCCCCCCCCCCCCCAAAGTACCAACTAGATTCACTTTCCTATCAGAAAAGCTACTGTTGAAGAAAATCATTTTTACTGTCCTAAAACGTAATGACAGACACAAAAAAAAATTAAAAAATTAAAAAAAAAACACACATCATTGTAAAATCAATACATTCATCGTTTCACTCAGAATCTAAAATTATGGTTAATATCATAGAATTGCATACTTGTACGTTATATTTACATATGTACTTTATGTTTGTAATATGTAAATATATAATAGTATAAGGTGTCAGCGTTATGCATTTTAAGCGATAGACTGTTAAAACTACAAAATTATCGTTCACTAAAAAAATATGTTTACCAGGGTAATTTTATACATTTCTAATAAATAACAATAAAGGTAGGTGTATATATTTATTATTTTGATACAATATTATAATATATATTATAGCACGTACAACTAAAAGTTTGTAATAATATATAATATGGGGAAAAGAGTAAATACCTAAATAAATATATTTTTTTTTATTGATTAAATGTTTTAATTGCAATCTATATTAAGTATTAAGTATAAGACAAAGTAAACTTGTTCTAAAAAAAAAAAATCTTCTAAAAAAATAATGACATGAGGTTCACATGTTTAGAGAAAATGTTCATTTATATCACTCATAAATCACTCACAGTAAAGTGAATAACCTAGTAAGTTATCTAGGTAGAGTTTTTTTAAAAGTTAAATTGAGTAGGAATAATATTTAGGTACCTAGATCAAGTCTCTGGACCATTTTCTTTTCAGTCGGTGGGTTGTATCGTCTAAGTCTAATGATGATAAAATGGATATGAGCGAGGATTTGAATGAAATTATAGCTTTTATAGAGTTGTTTGTAGTATTTAGATGAGTAATCAGGGATGGTCATTATTTTGAAGTCATTATATGGAGGGTTCAATTATTACTATCATACTATGGAAAAATATATTAAGATAAACAAAAAATTACTCTTAAAAGCTACTTATAAACCTAATCTTGTAAGATGCTTAATATAGGTTTATATGATAAGTTTTAAAAATATCAAACCTGTGAGAATTCTTATTATTATTATTCGTTTATTATTATAACTTGTGAAAATATAGGAGACGCGGTCCCAAAGTCTTGTAGTAATTGTAGTAACTTTAGTAGTAGTCTATTGGTAACAACTATAAGTAAATATAGTATAGTACCTAGTATAGTAGTGGCAGTAATATTTCTAGTAGGTAGTATCATAATATTTTAATACAATATAAGCATTATAGTATAATAAGTATAATGTATATTATTATTATTATTTTTGCGTTACAGTGGCGGAGCCGTAAACAAGTGTTTCACCTTTTGGTGACGGTATGCAACCTCTCGACGGGTAAAAATATTTAGAACCGTCACTATAACGCATATAACTAAACACTGCCGTAGTTATGGTTTTGTTCTGGGGGGAGGGATGGATTATTTGTTAGATGAACGTTTTTCAATTTTCAAGGATTTTGACATTACGAAATATTATTATCGATATTTATAAAAACAAAACTGAAAAATTGAAAATTCTAATGTCTATAAATATGTTAAAAAAGAATCACAAATTTTGAAAATATTGTAATGTGTGCAAAATGGTTATATAAACATTTGATGAATATTTAAATTATCAAAGGTTATTAAATAGCAGCATTATTCGATTTACTCATAGTATATAAGGAAACAAATAAAAAAATTAAAATTAAAAGCACATTGTACAATTGATACATCTATCCCCACCATCCCACTCCCATAACTATGCCGCTGTACCTAATCTATATATATATATTAAGAAATCTCCCTGAGCGGAAACCTCTATATAGCGAAGCCCCCACCTCCTAAATAGTAGACAAAATTTAAAGCGGCCTAGAGTGACTGGTATTCAAAGGTTTCACACTATTTAAAAAAAAAATGAATATAATATTAAAAATTGAATGCGCGGCGATCGGCTTATGCAGTGTGTTTATAGTCTTTCTGCTCTCCTATATACTTCCGGTCGTCAGCGGCGGCTGCTCTGTTTGCATTAGGCCGCGATGTACGTTAAGTGATAGATACTGCACATGATGGTAATAACGTTACCCATGGCCATGACCATGTGCATCTTACGGAAAATTCGATGTATAGTCATGTAATGCGGGCACTTGACCAGCCGGCCAAGGTTGCAGCGTCCCACTTCCTTGCCCAAGCCCGCTGACTTCTCGATGGCTGTCTTGGCGGCGATGAGCCGCAACACTGTAGGCACCATGTACAGCCAGATGGTCAATTCCAACAGGAAGCACAAATTCAACGTAATCAACTGTAACGCGAAAAACGCAGTTATTATTACTGTCTATGACTATATCCGTGACACATTAAACGCCCGTTCTTCTTAAAGCCTGTTAATTGTCAACAGTTTTTTACGTATAGTGTTATTTGGACTGTTCTTTCTATTATACATTCATTATAGCTGTGAATATTGTTTATTGACTATTGCATTAAGTATCATTTTATATTTTCATGAAAAGGACGCTCAACCTATGCGTTTTTTGTCTCAGTTTTATGGCATATCAAATTTTTATTCACTAGTTACAATAGTGTGCTGCTAATTTTGATATAAGAGTAAATCGACCTATGATTAAACTTGTAGGCAAGAAAATTATCTGTGCAGTGTGCTTAGGTGCCGGCGATTATTCAATAATGTTATTTATGAGCATTTTAGTTTATAATATTTTAAATACATATATCTCACTTCAAAATTAAAATATTAAAAATTCGCCCACGCTACATTCGCACCCATGGATAATTTTTTTACCTAAAAGTTTGATAATAGGTCAATTTACTGTAATATCAAAACTAACACACTATAGAATGTCTTACGTGTGTAAGATATCTATGGGTGCCCAATAAAAAATCTTCCAAACCAAAAACTCACGAGTTTTCTAAACTTACAATTTCCTCCCCTACAAAAACAAAAACAGCTAATGGCCATAGTTGCCGGGCTTTAAGAACAACTAAAAAAATATATACATAAAAAACTTTTTAGCTGAATTAAAGTCATAATTTATATATTATTTTCGATGGGTACAAACAAATTGATTATAAGTAATATAGAATGAAAAAGAAATATAACGATTTTTCAATAATAGTCGTAAAACTTTTTTCTACAATCTTAATTTAAATTATGAGTTGAAATATGAAAACACACAAAATAAATCAAATTACTGCATATTATTATGCATATACACAAAAATATCACAAAGCTGTAGAAATAGCACTATTAAACGTGTATTATAAAAATATGAGAAAATTTGCAGGGAGTATAAAATATTAGATTTGAAACCCATGTTAAATAATATTATAACTATAGGTTTAGACACTTATAGCTCTAAAAAATACACAAATATGCTTTTAAAATCATTGAAATATGCATTATAATATGCATTATTTATATGCAAAAAAAAAAAAAAAATCGACCACTAAATATTGGTTAATTTCACTTTTAGCTTAAAAAGTTATTAGTTAAAATTTATATCTAATAAATAATAAATAATAAACAATAACTAAGAATTATTAATCAAAAACACAATTTTTATTATTGAACATGCAACAACTAAATTTTGAAAAAAATTATATTTACCTTAACGTTTTGAAAAATTAAACCGAGAATTAAATATTTTTTTAAATAATAATAATTAATAATCAATAAATAATAATTATTATTTTTTGCGGAGTTACTGGAAGTATTATTATATTTTTATTTTCGATCGGTTGAATAGGTATATATGTATATGTGTAGTTTTTAATTTGAAATTAAAAAAATTTGTCAAAATAAGCATAAACATTTTAAAATATGCACTTTCCTGCACAATCTATCAAATATGCAAATTCGAATTTTAGATCTGATATCATGGCACCGAGAAACGAATTTATTTCGCACTCTACTAGCTATATTTAACATTAATTAAAAAAAGTATGCAAATAGTAGAAGTCCTTAGCCTAATTATAACTTAATAACTTACTCTGCTATTTTTATCAGTTTTATACTTAATAATGAATTAACGAATGGTATAGGATTTGAGTCAGGGATTTAGGACCTTGATGATTTTTACTGTTCTGGTTTTAGTTCAGTTCTCAGAAAAACTAAAATTTCGGTTTCAGTTCCGGTTTGGTTCCAAGAAAAATTAACATTTAAGTTTCGGTTTATTTTTGATTCTTAAAACATTTAAAATTCGTTACCGGTTTTGGTTTTATACTTATGTAAAAAAATGCATAAGTAAAGTAAAATGATCGGTTCTGGTAAGGTTCCGGTATTGAAATTAATTTAAGTAATGGTTTCGGCGAGATTTAAGTTTCTAATATTCAAAGGGTTCCATTTCCAAAACAGGTTTTTTCCGGTAAGGTTCCAGTCCCTGGTTTGTGCACTGAATTTACTAATGAAAAAATATAATTGGAACCAACAGTGGCTTAAAACCCCTTCATCAAGTAGGTAGGCGGTGATAGGTATATCACTACACCACGTTCCTCCATGTTTTCAGTATTACAATTATTATAACTATTACACATTTTATAAATTGTGTTTACCTGTAAATACGTGTGTAGTTGCCACACGTCCGCAGTGATCTTTCTGAACTGTACCAGCGTGATAGCGCTCAGCACACTGTTAATCGAAAAGTATTTCGGAAACAGGATTTTTTGGACATCACCAAAAGCGTGTCTGGACAAATTGAAATACAAACTCAGTCCTGAGGATACGAAAAAAAATTAACAAATATATAACCGACACCTCTGCTAGTATATTTATATATACATGTAGAGTACCCGTAGGACTATCATATATATATATATATATCATATTATAATACTTTCAACTAGAAATCTACTTTATTCACCAGAAACAATCGTCATCCAAAACTGAGAACCTAGATGAATACTGAACGAAGCCAGATACACAAAGTATACGAGAGTCTGGGGTTTCACTTTTCCATCGTTACGATTATTGGCGTTTGACGTTTCCCTCAGATCACCGGGTATCAGCGACGTGGTGACCAAAACGATGGCCAACGCCATTATGATGTGGGTTGAATGTTCAAAAAACCACTTCCTGACAGATAAAAAAACAATTATTATAATAAAATTCGGCAAATCCATCACGAATTTGGGTGATACAAACGATTATAATTCGGTGCACGAGATTTGTATTTTCAATATAGGTAACGATTTTAAGTCCAAAAATAATAAATTATTATTTAAGATATTATTAATTATTAAATGTATATTATATTATGTAGACATGTAGTTTTATTTGATTTTTTTTTTTGCATGCCATTATGTTTCGGATTGTGTTTAAATGTGTAATATCTTAAAAAGAAATTGAACAGATCCAACGTTAAATTACGACAGACACATATTTAACGCACTTGAATCATACTTCTATTTACTGTTATTATTTAGGTGTATTTCTTATCTATAATATTTAATATTCAAAATATTCTTTATGATAATGATTAAGAGGATGTCAGCACACTGTTTGTTTTATCTCTCTGGCCCGTGCGCAACATAGACAAAACGCATTTACGCAAAATCATTTTTTTTTTTTATGTTTTTGAGTAATTTTAGAGTACAATCACCCATTACAAAAACGATAGAGAATAATTTTGTTGAGGGTATGACATCAATTTGCCTAAATATTGTCTCAAAAAACAGTTTAAAGAATATTTAAGTTATATAAATTTTAAATTTTAAGTTAAAACATTTTTCGGTATGGGGGTTATTGACTCTTTTGTCATATACTCTTCAAATGATATATTTTACAAGAAAAGTGATGGAGAATAAAATTATTGTTTGATTAATGGATTGGTTATTGATTATTATTCCTGTACAATCTACATAATATTATAATACATAGTAGCATAAACAGTAAAACTAGATAGTTAAGTACATAATATTATTTCTGTATAATTCACTCGTCCTATACTTTTTATGGTTTTCTCGGAATATATTAATAATATATTAATCCCGTAAAGATCCACGGTACATTAATTTTAAAAAAACGTTATTATATAATATATTTATATTATTCGTGTTTTGTTATAATCTTTTACCAAATGCTATAAATTATTATAAATACGATTAAAATACTCTTATATTTGAAATGTTAAATATCTAATATTCTAAACAGTCCTCGACTGTTTTTTTGTTTAAAAAAAAACATTATAGAGACATATAGACATATTGTATCGCTGCTACATCTTTAAAGTCATCATAAATACGTTTTCTGTACGTCCATATTATCTATATACATATGAATAAATGTTTTTTTCTCTCTTCATTTGATCGGTATAGACTCAAAAACTACTTCACCATTTTCAATAAAAGTTACATATATTAATATATTCCTTAGGACTCGGAGAGGTTTTGTAGCTACTAGCTACGTATTTCAATCCCTCTATTTAGGGTACTGTAGGGAGGCTCACGTATACTCACGAAAATAGAATATTCTTTGTTAACAAAATATAGGGTTGCCAATATTGCCATTCGATATATCTTAATAGATAATAAAGTAGTTATTACTATATAATTGGATATAGATTTCAGTGTTGCGTATTATATTTTGCAATTAAGGCTAATAAACATAGGTATTCTAAATAATAATTGTCATAAATAAATGAAGGTAATATTGAATAACAGATATTATATATTAGAAGCACGCTGTACAAAATTATTGAGGTCTATAAAAAAAAAGAATAACTGACTGGTTTTGACAAAAAAAAAAACATTTAAGATAGAACTGAAGGAAAAAAGATTATAGGTAATATCTAAATTACGCATATGAAAATACACAATTTTGTCGGTTTGACACTAAACTGTACACACAAATATTATTTTCGATACCGGAAGGGCCGTACGCAAATCTGAATAGAAGCCATGGATAACTGATATTACTTGTAAAAGGCAAAGTGTTTGTATATGGCTGAATTTAATATGGAATTAAAAAATTTTGACGATGTACACATCATAAGGTTAGATAATAGATTGAACTAGGTAGTTAGTTTATGGAAGCTTACCAGTTACCTAATGTAGTAATGTTAATAATATTGAAACCATAACCACATATTTGTTAATTTTTGCTTGCAATGAAATTTATCAAAATATATAAGAGAAAAAAATTCACTTATTATTGGACTAGAGTTTAGATTTAATTACCTAAAAAATTACAATAAAGTACATTAAAACAATGTGAAAATGACTTATTTAAATAATATAACTTTATTATTTAAATAAATAATAGTTTAAAAGTAAAAATTATGAAACACAACTAATGCTGCGTATAGGGCCAATATGCTACGGTGGACGTACAAATAAGGCTTCGATCGTTATCGATCGTTTGTATACTATAATTGGAGATAATCCAAGTGGAAATGACTAGGCCATGAGTGCCTATTTTTTCTAAGTAAAGGAGGTATAATTTTAAAATTAAATGGCAATTTTTTTTTTATGAAGAAAATTCTTAACTTTAATATATCATAATGTCATATTATATTATATAGCCATATAGTCTAAGATGAATACATTTTACATTATTACATTATTATATTAAGAGGACGCTACACCTGCATGAGTTGTATCTGTCTTACGAACGCATTACACAGCAAATTGTACGAACTGAATAATCTATTATTTTATTTACCTCATATATAAACTCGGTACAATTTAGAAGTAAGATGTTATCTAGTGAATCTCATTGGTTTCTTTTTAGATTTTCAGTTTATATCAGTAGATAATAGTTATGATATCATTATTCTATATAATCTCGCTGCATACATATCTTACTACTATTAAAGTATTATATAGAGATAAAGAGGCACTATTGGCTTTACTGTACGAATAGTACAATAATAATTGTACCGTCGATGATCAACCGAAAGTATCGTGCTAATTGCCGCGTGACTTAAACGCCACAATAGCCTTATATCTATATTAAAATCTGGTACAACAATTTACGTTCACTGTATAAATTGCGAAAAATGCTGTAAAAAAATCAAAAATTTAAATTACATAAAAATAATTTGTATCATCCGAAACACGTATTATATTTATGGTTCTATGTTTTGGAAAACAGCAAAAAAAATCATTGCATAAAAACCACAGCCTCATTACTATACGCCACAGGTGCTGGAACGTAGCCAGGGTACTGTAGATTTGTTTACAGGTGTGTGTTTGTTTTTGCCAGAGTTTTTGATTTGGGCACCCGTAGGTATCTGCCATGCCCGGGGGTAGGATATTCTCCGGACACAATGACTTGCCCGAAGGAAAATCCTCCCGCGGCCGAGGTATCGAACCAGCGTTGGCTGCGTCGCTCCAAAATGACTTAGAATTATTATTATTTTTTTTTTTTTTTTTAACTTGACCCCCTCCCCGAAATAACATCCTGGTTACGTCCCTGCAAAGGTGGATTGTCGCGTTTACGTTTAATTTATCCACCCTCGAGTAATTTGTTTTTATACTCCAGCTTGTAATATTATTATTTATTATATTATAATATGATGCTCACTTGTAAGCCAGCGATCTCTGCAGTCTTCTGAATATCGTTGCGCACTTGTTGGCTATGTTTCTGGTGACCGTGGTCAGCTCGTTGCCGGCCAACGGTTCTGCAACAGTAGTCGACGTCTGCAGCCCTTCCTCGTACATTGACTCACAAGTGGTTACGTCAGCCTCAGGCAACTTGAACAAGTGATGTGGATGACCACCATATCCTCGTTTTGGCGTTTGATTGACCGTTTCGCTCATTATTGTCGTCGTCGTCGATGTAAATATTAAATTTTACAGGGATCGACGGTGATAGATAGATAATATGTAGAGTGAGAAAGTGACGAAGAGACGTTGAAAATTAAATTGCTTTCGACTTAGGAAAAGTGTTACTTTAGAACGGCGGTGGTACAGTAATACGGATATATATGTGTAGACAGTGTCTGTGAGAGTGTGCCTCAGATGCGGTCGTCGTTGGCAGTGAAAAATGAAAAGTGAAAAGACTGTTTACAACACATAAACCAGTCTGTGGCAAGCGGCGGCGGAGAAATGGCCTACGTGACCAACGAACAGGCGGTGTTCACACCAAAACACTATTCTGCCGCACTTTATCGTCAACAATAATATTATTGTTTACTATATTATACACAGGCACGATTCTGCGCGACCGGGTGCACTCAGAAAACTCGTCACTGGCCAATGAAGTCACTCCGTTGAACATTCCCTTCTTATGGAGGGTTTGGCATCGCATAGTCGATAATATCATAATAATAATATAATATTAAGGGGACGTCACACCCGCATGTGTTGTCTCTGTCTTACACGCAGACGACATAGACAAAACGCATTTACGCAGTTTGAGTAGAAATCAATTTTGGTTCTAGAGTGAAAATTTACCTATTGTAAAATATTTCTTATGGTAAGACGTGTGTAATACGTGGTGTAATGTCCTCTTAACATAGTACCATTGTCCACTGATTATACAGTTATACCAAATATTTAAAAACGATAATAATATACCGGGGGAATCCAATTATTTTGTCTATCATTATTCGATGTTTCTCTTCTGTATCAGCCTTACCAGAAATAATTGTAATAAAAAATATGAGGTACAGGGTTTATGATTTTTGGCAGTTACAATTTTGATAAAAAAAAATTGGAGTAGCTGATTATCTCCGAGCCACTTCCCCCTTAAAATTGACCCGATTATTTTTTTTATTAGTGAAAAAGTTGTTAAAAGAACAGGAATTTTAAAAATAACAACATGATTTTTATGACTTTAAAATTTTTTTATATTTACCGATTTATGACAATAAATAACCGAGCCAACTGTTGAATTAAGCTATACCTAATACGAGTTGTGAAATTTTTAAAAATATTTTTAGTCTTTCCGCATACTATTATATATAATATACGTTTTCCGGTTTCAATGTGCATACGGTTTCCATATAATATTATAGGTATAACATAATATAATATTAAAATTCAACGATAATTCAAACGTAACTTGTAATAAACATAGGCATATAGGTATAATAACGACCCCTAAAATATTATAATTTTCGTTACGGCTCGATCATAATATTAATAAAATTCATCTGAATAATAAATATAGTACTTTAATAGATATATCATATTAAGACAACGATATTTTTAAACAAGTTGTTTAAACCGGAACTGTTCAACAGTGGTCGCGTAGTGTTGTCGTTTCCAAATAATTCGCCGGCCGCAGCAAAGAAGGTCGTATCTCTGTTTTGACAATTTTTTTTTTGTACAATTTGTCATAACTATTTTCGTGTAGTTCCTGCGAAGACAATAGTAACTACATTTTATTGTATGAACCGTCTTTGATTGTTTTATGCTACTATGTTATGACAACTTGAAAAAAAAAATTGTGAAAACATAGAAACGAACTTCTGATGCGGCTGGCGAATTATACACTGTTACAATTAATAGGCGGGTGAGACGATGCAAGCCGAGGGGTAGAAGGTAAAAAGTTGCATACTGAATTTTTTAGTTTTTTCCCGAAATTTGTTATAACGTTTTGAGAATAGGTACCTATATTATTATGTTGAACGTAACGAGCATAATATAATATTATTATAGTTTCGATCTGATGTGAATATTTTCTATTGTACCTACTTTATTATAATATTATTATGATCGGATACTCGCGGTATATCCATATTAAAGGTACAATAATTATTATAATCAACTAAAAGAAATATTAAAATGTTTTGCTTTTCACTTCATTCGGTACGTCGAAACGTTTCGCTGTGTTGTCAGGCGATCATTTTTATTGACCTTAACCCGTGTTTATAAACCCTCGCCAGCTGATCGTATGTATGGGGGGAAATTTAAACGGACTGCCATCGAACATTGAACCATTCGATTAGAATTCACCGTGATGAATTGGCACCGCGGGCGAGTAGGTAGTTTAGGTGTTGACGCCCACCGAATCCTCAACGCGGCGACCTGTGTGAATAGGTCGCGACGTCCGAAGACCACCTCACGTGTGTTACAACACATTTCAATAACGACCCTAACCGTGTCAGCGAGAAACCCATAATATTATAACATTATTAATTATTTTCATGACGCCGTCACACGACGAAATCACAGGTAGCATATTTAGGTATTTATATTATGGGACGGGGGATGGAATGCATTGATCTGGTAAATAGTAAATACCATGAACTAGGTACTCTACGGATTGCACTATTTGCACTGACGTGCAAAGTTACTATAATTCCATGAAATACTACAAAATATAATAATAAGTAATAATAATTATAATGATTAGGTAGTAACTAATGAGTAATGAGTAAACAAACGTGTATGGGATTATATCCTGAGTAAATAGTTATTTTTTAATTTATTAATGATGTGGTTATCCCTATAACATTTCGGTTAATAATATATAGGACATAGGTATATAATATATTTTGAAATATGTAATATTATTCACTATTATTATAAATTATTATTTATCAATCAATACTATATTATTTAATATTTCGGTTTAATATTATTTTATTTTTATAAAAATAATATTTACAAAATGCAATATATTTTTAATCTCTGGTTTAGTGCTAAAATTAACTTAAAATGACAATAAAATGAATTAACTCTTCAGTTATACCGAAGAACACAGAAAAAAATGTAACACGTTAAGTTAGAAGTTACTTCTAAGAAAAAAGTAACTTAATTTTAACTTTTTAACTCTTTGATGCCCAGGCTTGTAAATGCATAAATTAATAACATAATAGCATAATAATAATATACAGATTTGTTTTTCTTAATAAATTATTGATTTTGTAATTTTAACTATAATCGTATCATGCTATCATAAACTAAAATGGAGCAAATAAAAATGGGTTTTTATTTATATAGTTCGAATTTTCTTAAAATCGTACCTACATATTACTTATTAAAGCATAGTATGGTTTATATATATTTATTTTGGTTTCCTATGTTCCATGACAAATATAGGCAGATATATAACCGAATATTGTTTATATTATTTTTTTAGTGCAAATTGTTAAACTTACGGAATTTTCATCTGAACGAGCTCAATTATTTTCGTATTTTTTTGAACTTATGGCGTTTTAGCGAATAAGTACAGTGACGTACCTACTGTTTATTACCTACCTACCAATTATTTATAAATACAAATTAAAATGAAGAAAACGTATTAATAATATTAAAATGTTAAACATTGTTTAAATGTAATGCGGGTTCTGGTTTTTGTGTCAAATAAAATAAGATGTTTAAATGTACAGTGTAGATGCACATTTTGGAGAACCATTATGCGCTATACTTTGGAACCGATATCAAGTAAAATAAATATTAATTAAGTACCTACTCAAATAGTATAATCTTTATAGTGACTGTTTTTTTTCAGTCCGACAACCCTGTTCAAGGTTAAAGGCAATGATAACTAATTATTTCTAAAAAAAAAATAAAACTAATTATTAAATAATAATAGAAAAGTAATACATTTTGAAAAGTTAAAGGTTTTTGAATTTTTTTTTGTTCTAAACGATAAAATTAACGTTATAATGGGTATAATGGAAAAAACGCAACGATTTGCCCTTAGAAATATTTTCTCGATTCAATTTTATAATAGGTATTTTTACTCTAGAACCAAAATTGAAGGATTTATACTAGGTATATACTATATAATATCTATACTATAATTATATTGAGCGTCGATGATATCATTTTGATATAACATATCAAAATTACACTATTCGGAAAAAGTTTCAGGCTCTCGTATTACGATAACTGGTTCGATAATATCTGATAATATACTTATTACTTACTACACAGTATTTTTTATGGCTACCATTGAATTGGCTCCCAATTTTGGGTAAATATGAATTTGACCCTTGAATTGGCTCCTGAAAAATGTATATTTGAATTGGCTCCCTAAACTGTAAAATATTATTATTTAACCAGGGGTTCTCATATTATACAAGTTTTCTTTTTACGAAGTCAACCTGACAGTAGTTGGCAGTTTGAACTCAAATATAGTATATCGCTGGATATCCCTATACTATTATATATATTATTGGATTTAGTCTTATCTTCTTAATCGTCGTAATCTACTACTATAATCGATTATCATCGACTCCTACAATACACTACTTTTATTTTGTTGATCACCACGACAGTAATGTTGGTATTATACTTTATTAGTAGCTACGCAAAAATTATTATAAGAAGTTCCAATATAACAAAACCACACCGGAAAGAAATTAGAGATAAAATACAATTTTTAGAAGATGAAATTCAAAAATATGATACTGGTGTACATTCAAGGTTTCAATACATAAAAATATTAGCGAATAAGTATAGACCACGAAAAATAATCTAACATATTTTTAGATTCTGAGTGAAACGATGAATGTATTGATTTTACAATGATGTGTGTTTTTTTATTTTTTTATTTTTTTATTTTTTTTTATTTTTTTTGTATCTGTGTACACGATAAGTAGACAAAATAATGCTTCGATTTTCGACTTCAGTATCTTGTTCGATTGGAGAGTGAATATCGTTGGTGCATTGGGGAGGTCAAAATTTAAATTTCCCAGTAGTTTTCACAAGCGCCGGGAAAAACAACATAAAAATTAAGGAAAAACGGGAATTTTTACGCAAAATTGATTTTCCAAAAAATCGATTTTGGTTATTGGTGTAACTCTAAAACAAATGAACGTATATACATGAAATTTTCACTGGTTGTTTATATTTGCAATTTC